TTTCAAGTTTCATTGATCTCTGATAAAAATTGTGACCTGTGGATGGACGGACAGGGGCGATGACAACATACGTCCACATGAAAGTGTAGGTGTATAAAAATGGCGGGAACCACGACGTCAATCCAGCCGTTCCCGCCAATAATTGAAAAATTCAAAATGGCCACCATAAAACACCTTCTTGTCCATAAAATTTCTGTAAGTGCACCGAATCAATGATCTTGATGTCTAACTATGTTTTTGAGGTCAAGGAATCCAGTAAAACACATACGAAGACTCATAATGTCCTCCTTCATAGTGTTTTCTAAAAATGGTCATAATTCTAATCAAACAGATGTATTATTTGCACCTTCTTTTTTGCTAAATGGATGTCAAGAATTTCATTTGTGGACGGATGGACAGGGGTGACGACAATATACGTCCACATGAAAATGTGGGTGTATAAAAATGGTGGGAACCACTACGTCACTCCAGCCGTTCCGGCCAAAAGTTGAAAAATTCAAAAAGGCTGCCATAATACACGTTCACGTCCATAAAATTTCGGTAAATGCACCGATTTCAATGATCTTGATGTCTATACCTATGTTTTTGAGGTCAAGGAATCCAGTAAAACACATACGAAGACTCATAATGTTCCCCTTCATAGTGTTTTCTAAAAATGGTCATAATTCTAATCGAACGGATGTATTATTTGCACCTTCTTTTTTGCTAAATGGATGTCAAGAATTCATTATGTTCCATTTCAGTGGAAGACCTTTGTGTCTTAGGTTCTGTAGCGAATTTTCTGACACAGGTATCAAAGGACATTGTTTCTGCTTTGTGAAAATCTCCTGTGGTTCCATCACAGAAAAGACAAGCTGGTTGATGTGGCTCGTCTGTATCCATGGGACATGCTGAAGTGGTTGAACTACGTAGGTGTTTTTTATGCGGTGATTGGGTCGTGTTCATACAAGCCTTTTCTTGCAGCTTCTTGGCTCTCTCCACTTTTGCTGCATTACACAGGACGTAACAACTTTTATGCCATCTACCTTTATGCTTTACCATCGGTTTTTTCATGCTATCACCATCATCTAGTCAGGATATATAAGGGCACTTTGTTCAATTCATGAAAGGCAGATAAATTAGTGGCCAGAGACGAGTAACCTGTTGCTGGTGGGTTTATGGGTGTTCCACCATGTTCTTGACACAGAGCACAAATTGCCCAGTTGGTCGGTTGAACAGATGTAACTGTAGCACATGCCCGAGGAGCGGTTTAAGTCTTTTGGACATGGTAGGTGATTGATTAGATGACCATCACTTGTTTCTGAAAAACAGAATAATACTGATACCTTGTTAAATGTATTTTCACTGAATTATGAAGAATATATTTACAACACTATCGTGTGCATATATAACATGGTGATTGACATGAAATGTGGATTGTTTGTGTTTGATGAGTAATATCTAGTTTCCACTGAAATGGAACATAATGAATTCTTGATATCCGTTTAGCAAAGGAGAAGGTGCCAATAATACATCTGTTCGATTAGAATTATGGCCATTTTTAAAAAGTACTATGAAGGAGAACATTATGAGTCTTCGTATGTGTTTTACTGGATTCCTTGACCTCAAAAACATAGGTATAGACATCAAGATCATTGAAATCAGTGCACTTACAGAAATTTTATGGACGAGAACACGTTTTATGGCGGCCATTTTGAATTTCTCAATTTTTCGCAGGAACAGCTGGAGTAACGTCGTGGTTCCCATCATTTTTTAAATCAGCATACTCAAAAATCTCCTAGGCCAAATTTTCATGCTTCTTTCCGGAAGTGCACATCTCTACCAATAAAATGAAAATTAAATGTGCTGTGCTATTAATTAATATGTGACAAATATTTATTATGGGAATTTGGCGGGGGACATCAGCCTCACCGTTGGCTTGTTTAATATAGGCCTATCTACATTATCTCAAGAGTGTCGTATACACTCCACTGAAATACTGTATTTCACCAATCTGCATCCTCTTGATGATTTTTCTTGAAATTGTAAAGCCGGATTTATGTTGCACGTATGATGAGTAAATACTAGTTTGATCTGCAAATGGAGAGGACAAAAAAGAAAACTGAACAGTTAAAACAAGCTGGTCGACATGAGTGTATCTAAAACTAGCTTTTGACCTAAAACAAACTCTGCACAAGTTCTTTGATCATTATCAAAAGATGTGACAATAGTCAGAACTATGGAAATTCTTGTTTGAGATTTATTTATATTAAAGATTATGTAAGAGGTGAATGTGCCAACTGCGGGTCTTCTTTCTGGCTTGAAATGTTTTATAAATTATGAATTAAACATTTATTAACATGACAAGCCCATAATCAACTCTCTGGGTCATCAGATGACTCTGATTTTAAGTAGAGTAGATAGAACAATACAGCCATATATTTTAGAGTTTAACAATAAATAGATAATCAAGATTTAGTCTTGATTTTAATGTACCGTTCTACAATAGTAAACAAACTACGTTACATTTCGTTAAAACTTCAAATGCTCATAACTTTGCACAGAGCGAAGTAATTTGCTTGATATTTCAATATATTCATTTTTTATACACTCAAATTAAAATATGGTCGTATATTGTCGTCGCCCCATCAGTTCGTCCAGCGTCCACAATTGCTTGTGTACACTCTAGAGACTAACGTTAAAATCCAATCGACACAGTATTTAAGATCATGAGACCCAAGTAGCTTATTGATTTTCAACGATTTCCAACAATTATTGCCAGAGTTATGGTCCTTGATCACAAATTTTTGTGAGCACTCAATAGATCACAGTTATCATCCGATTGAGTTTCTATTTATACACAGTGTTTACGGTCATGAGATGAAGAAGTCTGTTGATTTTCACCGATTTTCAATAATTAATATCAGAGTTGTGGATCTTGATCACGTTGAAAATCATCCAATTGACTTGCCATTTGTACACGAAGAGGACTGTTGATTTCTTCCAGAGTTATGGTCCTTGATCACTTTTAAAAATCATCCAATTTTCCTTAGATTTATACACAATGTTTATAGTCATGAGCCAAAAAAAACATTGATTTTCAGCAATTTCTGATAATTACTGCACGAGTTATGACCCTTGATCACTGTGAAAATTCTTGTGGACACTCTTGAGGCATAAGTTATCATCCGATTGACTTTCATTTTCTACTCATTGTTTATGGTTACAAGACCTAATTTCTTTCCGAGTTATAGCCCTTGATCAGGCACGGATTTAGAGGGGGGGGGGCACCGTCCGTCGTCCACAATTTCTTGTGAACGGTCTAAATCCAAAAATTATTATCCGTTTGTTTTAAAATTGATATATGTGGATTACATTAGTGAGATGAAGAATCCTATTTAATTTCAATAATTCCTCTTCATTACGTCCAGAGTTATGGCCCTTGTTTCACTTTCTTATAACTTGTGAACGCTATTACGCCAAAAGTTATCATCCGATCTTTGTGAAATTTATATGCATTATTGAAATTAGTGAAATGAAGAAGCCTATTGTATTTCAGCAATTTCCGTTTATTACGTCTAGAGATATGGCCCTTGTTTCACTTTATTGAACCTTATGAACGCTCTAACGGCAAAAGTTACCATCCGATCTTTCTGAAATTTATATGCATTATTTAAATTCGTGAACCAAAGAAGCCTATTGAAGTTCAGCAATTTCCGTTCATAACGTCTAGAGTTATGACCCTTGTTTTACTTTATTGAATCTTGTGAACGCCAAAAAGTATCACGCAATCTTTGTGAAATTTATAAGCATGATTTAAATTAGTGAAACGAAGAAGCCTTTTGAATTTCAGCAATTTCCGTCAATTACCTCTAGCGTTATGGCCCTTGTTTCACTTTGTTGAACCTTGTGTGCCCTCAAACGACGAAAATTATAATGTCACCTATATGAAATTGTCTATTAAATGCCCCTAATTACCTTCGAACGACAAAAGTGAACGCTCTAATGACAACAGTTATCATCCAATCTGTATGAAATTTACATGTGTGATTTAAATTAGTAAAGAGAAGAATCCTATTGAATTTCAACAATTTCCATTTATTACTTCTAGAGTTATGGCCATTGTTTCACTTTGTTGCACTTTGTGAACTCTCTAACCTCTAAAGTTATCTTTCGATCTGTATGAAATTTATATGTGCCGTTTAAGTTAGTAAAAAGTTTAATCCTATTGAATTTCAGTAATTTCCGTTTATTACGTCTAGAATTATCGCCCGTTTCACTTTATTGAACCTTGTGAAAGTTATCATCCGATCTTTGTGAAATTTATATGCATAATTTAAATTAGTGAAACCATGAAGCCTATTGAATTTCAGCAATTTACATTAATTACTGCTAGAGTTATGGTCCTTGTTTCACTTTGTTCAACCTTGATTATGCTCGATTGATGATAGTTATCATCCGATATGTATGAAATTTATATGCATCATTTAAATTTGTGAAATTAAGGCCTATTGAATTTCAGTAATTTCAGTCAATAATTTCTAGAGTTATGGCGATTGTGAACGTTTGAATGACAAAAGTGATCATCTGATCTGTATGAAATTTATATGCATTATTTGAATTAGTAACGAAAAAGCCTGTCAAATTTCAACAATTTCTGTAGATTACTTCCAGAGCTGAGACCCTTGTTTCAGTTTGTAGAACCTTGTGAAGTTGTGAATATAAATGACATTATTATTATTATTATTATTATACTCAAACGACAAAAATTATAATCTGATCTGTATGGAACTGTCTTGTAAAGGCCCCCAATTACCTACAAAGGAATAAATATGCGATAACCCTTGTCGACTGCTCAAACGATTTAGCTGCTTTTGATTGAAACCTGAAATGAAACTTTTCATTAAAGCTTGAAATAAAACTTTTGAACAAAACTCAAGTAAAGGTATGTAGACTAGCAAATATCTCCCCTTTCAATCAGATAATATACTTTAAAAATCATCTCCCTTTTCTTATTGTAGGTGGTAGCAGTTTATATATGTCTCACATGAGGGCATTTCTAGGAAGTATTGGTAATTTAAGACCATGTGATTCTCTACGAAGTTTGGTTGAGTTACGCCGTCAACATCAAGAATATGGAAATAAGGCACATAAAGTAGTCAAAAATAGACGGGTAAGTACTGGATGTCATTTCATGAATGACATGAATGCATTGATAAAGGTGTTTTATACCTTATTTTCCACTAACAAACATATTGTTAACCAAATAATTGTAGTTAGGCAAGATTACTAAAATTATTATTAAGCTTTCATATTACATATGAAAGCTTATTGTTTCTGTTAAGATTATTATTGTTATTTTTTTTTTGTGTTTTGTCCACAAATCGGATTTCTCAGAATCTAACCATAGGATCGTTCTGAAACTTTTACCTATCCCCCCAAAAATGGGTGGTGGCTGTTGATTAAATATATTTTCAAAACGTTTTACGAATCCGAAATCACCGAATTTTACGAAGGAATGCATTTGACCTACAATGCTGTAACTTTGTGACTATTTGACCTATTTTACTAATTCTTTTTTCTTTGAGTATCTTGAAACATTTACTTCAAATCTGCAATTTCGGATTTTGGCATTTCGAAAATTCGTCGCTGTCATTTCGAACCGGAAGTTATTACCAATTTGACAACTTCTTTAAAAGTTGTGCGATTTTCGTGAAATTTAGAATGTTAGTAGATCTTGCCAATGCGACTTCAATGATGTCCTTGTAAATTTTCTAAATTATCTCCCCTTGGTGAAATTAAGGATCAAAGTTTTCAAAAAAATCGTCGAAATATAGGTCAGAATGACCTAAAAAAAAAAATTCGATACTAGACAAGTAATTACTGATTCGTACACAAAATATGGAGTTTGTCGATCGAACCGGAAGTGCCACCATCTTTAAACGTGAAAAATCAAAAAGGCTTTTTTGCTATTTTACTTACAGACTCGGGCGTCATATTTTCGGAATCCTGGAAGGAATGCCTAAAAATCTATCGGATCAGAATTTTGATTTCGGTCACGTGATGGTCACCATTTTGAATTGAAAATGAAAAATAGAAGCAATTTGAAGGGCCGGGACTTTGGAACACAAGAACTCTCCTTCTAATTAAGCTAGAATGTTCAAACTTGGTGTAGGCGTTCACTAGGTCAATGTCATGATTGAGTTCAAAGATGAGCATTTTTTGCCTAGGGTAAGCAGAGATAAGCAAGCTGATTTGTTGATTCTTTAGGGCACGATGACATTGGTTATAATGAATGGAGGGCGATGAAACTCTTGTCAATCGAGAGGCTAATAGCTGGCCTGTTGTGTGAAATCATTGTATCATTTTTTGAAAATGTCCGGGGTAGCCGAAAAAAGGAGATCGAAATCCAAAAAGTCGTATTTTTACGATTTGGGGCATTTTTAGAGGTCGTGTAAAGTAAAATAAAGCATGCATATACATATATTATTGATATTAAATATATCATAAAAATTTGGACACAATACGCCCATTACCACCCCGGACTCTGTGCCTTACCCCCATTTTGATCCCATTAAAAAAAAAAGAGTTTTAGCAAAAAAACGATTTTCGGAATTTAATATTGGTTTTAACCCTGTACCCAGACAAGATATACATATTATTATAATCCCTATGAAATATTTTAATTATTTACTGCTATAATATGAATTATCACTTATTCCCCGTTAAATAAATATCGGTCACCGGGTGCAGCTGTACAACTTGAAGGACCCTGGCTTCAAGTCAATTTACGGCTTCCATGAGGGGAAAAAAGTGGATCTTATCGCCTCCTCCGTATGTGATTGCTATTAGTACTATACACATTATCCGTAAAAGACATTTTTTTTTAAAATGAGCGCAACACCAGAAACCGAAATCGACTATTTTGTCTTTATCATACATTAAATATTATATGCCATCGGTTAATTTTTATACGCCCACATTGAAATGTGGTCGTATATTGTCGTCGCCGCCGTCCGGACGGCTAAAGTTAATATCCGATTACTTTAAATTTATACACAGTGTTTAAGGTCATGAGAGGAAGAAGCCTACTGATTTTAAGCGATTTCCGATAATTACTGTCAGAATTATGGTCCTTGACCACTTCAAAAAATCTTGTGCACGCTCTAGAGGTTAAATTCAATATCCGATTGACTTTAAATTTATACACAGTGTTTAAGGTCATGAGATGAAGAAGCCAATTGCTTTTCAGCGATTTCCGATAATTACTGTCAGAGTTATGGCCCTTCATCACTTAAAATAAATCTTGTGGATGCTCTAGAGGCCAAAGCTAATGTCCGATTGACTTTAAATTTATACACAGTGGTTAAGGTCATGATACGAAGTAGGCGATTGATTTTCAGCGATATCTAATATTTACTGCCAGAGATGTGGCCCTGATCACTTCAAAATATCTTGTGGACGCTCTAGAGGCCAAAGTTAATATCCGATTGACTTTCAATTTATGCGCAGTGTTTAAGGTCATGACACGAAGATGCCTACAGTATTGATTTTCAGCGATATCTGATATTTACAGCCATTTCCGATAATTACCGTCAGAGTTATTGCCCTTGATCACTTTAAAAAATCTTGTGGACGCTCTAGAGGCTAAATTCAATATCCGATTGACTTTAAATTTATACAGTGTTTAAGGTCATGAGATGAAGAAGCCAATTGATTTTCAGCGATTTCCGATTGAATCCTTTGAAAATCACACCTAACGCTAAAACTAAAGGCAAAAACGGGCCGGTTTACATTGAAGCACAACTAATTCCTGTCCTGCGTACTCTGTATATAATATACGGTTTTCTAAATATGCCTTGGATGGTAGCCACAAGTCGACAATTTTTGTTTTGTATTTTTCCCATTTTGTTCAGAAGGTAAATGTAACTTTTCAGATACCTGATGACATTTATACTTATTGTTTCAATAGATTCTAATAACCCCCATTGCAGTTAATATGAAAGCTTTCATATCTGCTATGCAGATCTAGTTAAGCTTTCATATTACATATGAAAGCTTATTGTTTCTGTTAAGATTATTAAGCTTTCATATTACATATGAAAGCTTATTGTTTCTGTTAAGATTATTATTGTTATTTTTTTTTTGTGTTTTGTCCACAAATCGGATTTCTCAGAATCTAACCATAGGATCGTTCTGAAACTTTTACCTATCCCCCCAAAAATGGGTGGTGGCTGTTGATTAAATATATTTTCAAAACGTTTTACGAATCCGAAATCACCGAATTTTACGAAGGAATGCATTTGACCTACAATGCTGTAACTTTGTGACTATTTGACCTATTTTACTAATTCTTTTTTCTTTGAGTATCTTGAAACATTTACTTCAAATCTGCAATTTTGGATTTTGGCATTTCGAAAATTCGTCGCTGTCATTTCGAACCGGAAGTTATTACCAATTTGACAACTTCTTTAATAGTTGTGCGATTTTCGTGAAATTTAGAATGTTAGTAGATCTTGCCAATGCGACTTCAATGATGTCCTTGGAAATTTTCTAAATTATCTCCCCTTGGTGAAATTAAGGATCAAAGTTTTCAAAAAAATCGTCGAAATATAGGTCAGAATGACCTTAAAAAAAAATTCGATACTAGACAAGTAATTACTGATTCGTACACAAAATATGGAGTTTGTCGATCGAACCGGAAGTGCCACCATCTTTAAACGTGAAAAATCAAAAAGGCTTTTTTGCTATTTTACTTACAGACTCGGGCGTCATATTTTCGGAATCCTGGAAGGAATACCTAAAAATCTATCGGATCAGAATTTTGATTTCGGTCACGTGATGGTCACCATTTTGAATTGAAAATGAAAAATAGAAGCAATTTGAAGGGCCGGGACTTTGGAACACAAGAACTCTCCTTCTAATTAAGCTAGAATGTTCAAACTTGGTGTAGGCGTTCACTAGGTCAATGTCATGATTGAGTTCAAAAATGAATATTTTTTGCCTAGGGTAAGCAGAGATAAGCAAGCTGATTTGTTGATTCTTTAGGGCACGATGACATTGGTTATAATGAATGGAGGGCGATGAAACTCTTGTCAATCGAGAGGCTAATAGCTGGCCTGTTGTGTGAAATCATTGTATCATTTTTTGAAAATGTCCGGGGTAGCCGAAAAAAGGAGATCGAAATCCAAAAAGTCGTATTTTTACGATTTGGGGCATTTTTAGAGGTCGTGTAAAGTAAAATAAAGCATGCATATACATATATTATTGATATTAAATATATCATATAAAAAACTAAACAATGAATCAGCTGTCATTGACAGATTTTATATTATAAGCATGGTCAGTGGAAGGTCAGCGTATTGTCTAACTTGAACTCACTGACTCCGTAACATTATTGTGGGTATGGTATAAGCTGAATTTGATGAGATGCACATATCTCGTATGACTATTTGGTACTTACAGTGTTAGACTTTGTCGTAACGTTACGGTCTCCATTCATCAAATCGTCGTTGGGACTATAATACGATTTTGAATCAAGTTATTTATCACTGAGGGACTCAAAATTAGGTTTGATGTAGCTCTGCTCATTTACAGTGGCGAATTTAACGGGCTCATGGGTTCCAGCTCCCTCCTCTAGAAATTTCACAGCACCCGCATGGATTGTGGCTAATTTTGTGGCAGAATTTTATTTTTCTGGGGGAGGTATTTCTAAATGGCTCCGACACAAGTGCCTGAAATGCCATGAAATCACGTTTTCGGCCTCCAATTAAAATTTCTTAGCGGGAGAACCCCCTGACCCGACCCCCTTGCGGGGCTTCACGGTCGGTATCAGCCCCCCTCCCCACCACCATGGTTAATCCGGCGTTGATGTTCCCTCTTGTGCAGCTGCAAAAGAATGTACAAGTTCATTGCCTCATTGTCAAAGATCCCACTTTTCTACCCCAGTTCGGGTAATGAGGTCGAGCGTATATTGTATAGGGGATATTAAACAAGCAAACAGTATGGCTGATGTCTCCCGCCAAAACCCCAAAGTAAAAGATGACACATTAATTAATCGCACTTTCATATTTTTTTCAAAAGTATCGAGCAATCAAACTATACTGTAAATTGCATCACTCTCTGTCAGATAGAAATCAAGGTTATCTTGTCCCAAAGCATCGACCAATGAAA